TCGCGCCGCGCGAATTTTCGCTACGGCGAATGTCCCGTGGCCAGGCTGTTAAGCGGGTGAACCGATTTCCGTGCGGGTTTTTATTTAAAAGCAAGTTTTCCAGCACTTGTTCTTGGACATGTTTTATAAAAATCCGTTCAGGCGTTTGAAGATCATCAGCTTTTTTGTTTCACTTTAAATTTTTTAAATTTATACATAAATAAATAAACACTCACGCCTGTGATCCAGAGGGGTAGGCAGAGACTACAGACTTGCATTTGGCACGATCCTGACACATCTCTCTCGCCTCCTTCACATCCATATACTTACGCATACATGCTCGTCGGTATTTTAAATTTATGTTATAGTTTTATGTGATATTCGAGTAGAATTTATAGATAGAAAAAAGGAAAAATAAACCCTTTTTCGTATCTCCTCAGTTTCAAGCCAGTATCAGTATCCCGGCGTCGACATATCGAGTGGCGTGCAGTTTCGTGGTCACTTGGAAGAGAAGGCCAAATTGGCCTCTAAAAAGCTTGGCGTGCTCAGGAGAGCGGGACAGTATTTCATGCCGGCACACCGCCTAAAACTTTACAAGGCGCAGGTTCGGCCGCACATGGAATACTGTTCCCATCTCTGGGCTGGGGCTCCCCAGTACCAGCGCAGAGCGGCTCGAATCGTCGACGCCCGAGTGCTTTCCGATCGGCTCGACTCACTGGCACTGCGAAGAGATGTTGCATCTCTTTGCATTTTCTTTCGCATATACCATGGAGAGTGCTCTGAGGAATTGTTCGGATTAATCTCAGCCGCCAAATTTCGTGAACGCACTACGCGGCAAACGTCCCGATACCATCCACACCATCTGGATGCTTGGCAGTCCACCACTGTACGTTTCAAGAGGAGTTTTCTTCCGCGTACAACCTCTCTGTGGAATAGTTTACCACCAACGATTTTTCCGGACCGATACGACCTGGGGACCTTCAAAAAAAGAGCGTACTCCTTTCTAAAGGGCCGGTAACGCACCTGCAATTCCCCTGGTGTTGCGGTTGATCATGGGCGGCGGTAGTCACTTAACATAGCTGAGAGTGTTTCCCTCTTCTATAAAAAAAGATATGATAAATTTCTTGAAACAGAAACAGAAACTTTTTTATTCAATGTAGATTATAAAAATCTTATTGAAAGTCCTTTTTCCTTCTTATTGGGAAGAACGAAAGAAACCAGACTTTTTTTTCAATAATAGCTTCAATCTGTTTACATTACAAAGAAAATAGAGCTTGTAGCGATCTTCCTTCCCTTTCCTTGGAGCTTATAATTAGAGAAAAAGAACTAAGTATTTAGCACAATGACCTGAATGAATACGTCTGAATAAAATATAGTGGAAATAGTTTTAAATAATACGTAACAGTAATTTCAATTAAAATAAATAATGAATTATTATAAATTTTATTAAAAAAAGGTCCTTAAGCAGTATGTATATTTCATTATAAAAATAAACAGAATAAACTTAACGTATAAGACTATATCCTAAGGTATGAGCCATTTTTTAATTTCCTATATGTATAAAGTGCGTGATCATTGTGGTCCAAACGTGCATTTAGTATTTTCTTATTATCGTTACTTACGATAACGAAAGCGTTGCACCCCTTGTTTAAGGCTGAACATCTCCAACGCACACCTGGATATCGCCTGACGATAGTGCCCTTACGGAACGTGCACCCATCCACCATAAGAAGCTTTGTTCCGTTTTGTAACGTAATAAAATCCGCATCTAAAGAAAACATATTCATGTAAAACCACACACATTTCAAGGCGGTATGTAGACAGAGACACGAGTTTGAATAGTCACGTTCAGACACTAAGCGTTCGCTGTAAATTCACAGTAACCGAGCAAACTGAGTTTTATCTTAAATTATATATATTATGTTAATTTTATATACTGTTATATAGTTTTATAGGTAATTGATTTATTATTATTATTATTATTGTGACAAGTATAATTTTTAATCCCAATTAATAATTTTAATCGTTGAGTTCTTGCCATCTATATATGTAGTATACATTCGTATTTATTTGTTGTTTATTTCTAATTATATTATATAAAATATGGATATTATATTTTTGCGATCCTGTCCATCCAAAGGTTATCTGGAAGAAATCGCTTTTAGCGATAAGACCGCCCATTGTGACACTATTTTTTTTTCTTCTTTTTTTATGTATTGATTTGGTGTACAATAAAGAATTATCTATCTATGAATTTTCCGTCGCCTCACTTAGTAGGTATTTTCCAAAGTTAATTTTTTTATTAGCTCATTACAGACCATCAAATATCCACGGCTGTACATAGGTCTCGCTTAAATATTTCCTCATAGTTTCCTCATATTTGCCATAGTTGCCACGCTTGGCAGGCAAATTGCCAACCGCAGCTTTTTTATTTTGAGTTGTGTTCATAATGGATAAAATTTAAAAATTATTCCATTAGTCAATGAATTTAAAAGTTTGAAAAACCTTAAGTCTACAATTTGTCCCTTGCTACGCATATAAGCAAAACATCTTGTCAAATCTACCTATTTATATATAATTCTTAGTGTTAGTCTTCTTAATTCTAGTGAAGTTTGTTTAAGAATGAATCTAGACCTAAAACAACCTTATTTCTGCCTAAATTATATTATAATCCAAATATTAACACTTTAAAAGTGTAAACAAACCAAAATTGTAAAAAAATTGTATTTAAGATTTATGTAAACACTCCCGACATCAACATAATATATTAGGTACTCATTTATTTATTTATTTCAATAAAATCACCAACAGAATTACATCTGATGACATACGCACTCACTTACAGACTGTTACATCATACATAAGGTTAGTACGAGAACAACACTTTCGCTGCCCGATTTTCAGACACAATAATAAGGCAATAGCAATGAATTATTTATGACACGGGACAGCGAATGGGTTAAGATTAACCAGTAATTATAAATGCTATTAACCAAAAATTAGGCAAAAACATTAGTAATGAAATCAAAAAAGCAAATTTTACTATTTTTATTTACTGTATAGTGTATTAATTATTTTAGCTTTTTTTTTAACTTTCCTAAGTCAGCACTTAGCTACAATCCCACCTGATGGTAAGTGGTGATGTAGCTTAAGGTGGTAAAGCTGCACACAAGCACTGACTTAACAAAAACCTATTCACTCTTGCCTTGAAGACACCTACATTGTAATTGGATGTAAAGACAGATGCTGGCAACTTATTCTACTCCTTTGCTGTACGCATGACGATGGGTGGAGACTGGCCGAACGTCTGGTTGTCCGATTTTGGAAGGTAGAGGGAGAAATTAAATTATGCGATTCCTGCGCACACTCTCCGAAATGCATCCTGTAGAAGACCGAAAGGCTGGCTACTTTACGCCGGTGTTCGAGGCTGGTAAGATTGGTTTCAACCAAATTCGGGTCGCCAATAAGCCTCTTAGCACGCCTTTCCATTGAGTCCAAGGCCGCTAGGTGGCATTTTGTAGCACCAGCCCATATATGGCAGCAATACTCAATGCACGACCGGACTTGCGCTTTATATAAAGTAAGCATCTGACCCGGCACGAAATATTGCCGCACCTTTGCAAGGACTCTTAGCCTCCTTGCAGCTGCTTTGGCCTTGGACTCAATGAGCCGTCCGACGTTCTGATTTGAGGATATCTCAACCCCCAGCAACATTCTTTTTTTTTTCAATTTATTTATTCATATAAAGGTAAGTACATTATTTTTACTATTCTCCCGCCAAACTGCAATCAGTTTGTCGGCGAGTACACGCTTTTAAAACTATATATTATTATGCACCATCACCTATACAAATACAATTAATTACAAAAAAAAAAGAAAATATAAGATAGTTATATCAAAGTCACCTGCTACAATTTCATAATATTTAGAAATTATTAAACTAAAAAGTAAACAACAACTACAACAAACAAATCAAATAAATCAAACATAAAAAGCGATTAACAAAAGTATGCAACAATATGTTATGTGTTATAGCTCTGTTAATAATGGCCTTTTCACAGAGGATTATAATAAGTTTTCGCTTAATTTATCGGTGTATTCCAGTGATACATTTCGGAAAGAAGGAGCAAAGGTGAGCTGACTCCTTTTTGCAGTGAAGAGACACGCTTGTGTTTTGGAGGCGTTGAATTTCACAAGATTAGCATCGCGCCATTCGGCGACTGCCTGTAGTGTGAGATTCACACGCTCTATCATAGCTTCTCTGTCGGACTGGATTTGATCCCGACTGGCTCGAGGACCTGTTTGGTATCTCTCCACAACTGTTCTGTCGTCTGCGTACCCATAGATACCAGGCATAAGCAAATCATTAACATGCAGCAGGAAGAGAGTTGCGGAGAGAACGGAGCCCTGAGGAACACCGGCGTTAGTCGTCACTGGATCGGATGAGCAGCCATCGACGACGACCCGGAGGGACCGTTCACTCAGAAAGTCCTTTACCCAGTCAATCAGATTAGGGGATAAGCCGTACGCTGGATGCTTAGCCAGAAGGCTAGCGTGCCATACTCTGTCAAAGGCCTTTGAGATATCAAGGGAAACGGCAAGTGCTTCCCCACTGTTCTCGAGTGCCTCGCCCCATACGTGTGTGGCATACGCTAGAAGGTCCCTAGCTGACCGATTTCGGCGAAACCCGTATTGCCGGTCGTTAAAGAGGTCATTCTGTTCTAGGTATGCCACTAAGCGAGCGTTCAATATACGCTCCGTAATCTTGCAGTGTATGGAGGTAAATTGAGATTGGCCGATAATTGGCAGGGTCGGCACGGCTGCCTTTTTTTGGAACAGGCTGCACGTTGGCCAGCTTCCAGGATTTTGGCACAATTCCAGTCCTAAATGAGAGGCAGGACAAGCGTGTCAACACTGGAGACAACTCAGGTGCCTTTAGTACAATAGCTGATATACCATCTGGTCCACTGCTGCTTATAAAATGATCAATGCTTAAACTAACTCCTCTCTATAAACACCAATCAAATCTTGACGTATGTACCGTCACTCATTTGAACATACGAAGGCCGCTCATGGTCATTGTGATTTATGTTAGCCTTTAAAACCGTTTGATCATCTTCTGACAGGACAACGTAAGCATTACACCTTTTCTTCCCGGAGGAACATCTCCATCGTATACCACCAGCGACTCTGTCACCGCCTCCTTTATGGAATGTATAACCTTGCATCATTAGTAACACTTTCCCTGATTGCGCTAAAGTGATCAGATGCGGATCGTCTGAAATGACATATAAATAAAAGAAAACAAAAGTTAACAGTTGATCATTTGCCGATTAAATTTAATATCAAATCAATGGTGTACAGATCTTTTGGATTTTCATACACAAAATAAAAATATACATTTTCATCACATACAAATTTCTGTATTATTGTTTTTTAATGTTTTATTACTATTATGGAGACATTATTAAAGATGTTCCCATAAAAGATAAACGTTATATACTTAAATATACTTAGAAAATAATAACGTAATTCTAGTGCACAAAGGTAAAACGATATTGAATGAAATTGGTGATTAAAATAAAACAAATATGAACCAAATAATAATATTAATGATTTAACAGATACAACGTAACATATTAGGACAGAAGAAGACCATAGGCCACAATGGACAATCTTTATTATTGTACACTCCGTAGTATTGTAGAGTTTCGTCACTGTCATCCACACGCGTGTTTTGCTGGAGACTTGTCAATTGTTGCACAAGTTTTTTTAAGGTTTTATCGTAACCACTTCAAATTATATTACATGAAAGAGTCGATATTTTGTTAATTTACAAAGCAAGTGACACTGCAATGTATCTACTTAATGCGATAGAGTATATATTTTCGGCCGGGTATTCTATTAACAGTTTTGATTCCGAAATATCTTAATTTATATAAAATATGTATATTTCAAATACACAATCAGGCGGATCGTGCGTGTATCTTTAGTTATGGAAGAATCATCCGCGCTGTAGAATTACCCTGAAGCATTACTCTGTCAACCTTTTCACTTCCTTGATTAGTGGGCCTACCCTATCACTAGTAGTCTTAAACAGCCCTACTTTTAATTTTTTATTTATTTATGTGAATTTCTTTTTATTCTATTTAATTAATTTTTTACATACATTCCGTTACCAATAAAAGTATAAATGGGTCGTTCATGACCGGTGTGCTCTATATTTATCTTCGTAATATGTCCATCGTCAGAGATAATGGCGAAAGCGCAGCATCTCCTTGCTAAGGCCGAACACCTCCACCTAGTACCGCCGCACCTCCGGTCAGCTTTATGAAACGTGTACCCGTCAATCATTAGAAGAATTTTTCCATTAACAAGTTTAATATAGCGGGCTATGGGAACTGAAAATAAAGTTTATTTATAGAAATAAAAAAAATATTTTTTATATTTGAATAAAAAAATTGATTCCATTATTTAAACATAACATAAACTCTCACGCCTATAATCCAGCGCGGTAGGCGGAGGCTACTGACTTCACTTTATACACTTTACACGAACATATATCACCTAGCTTCTTTTACATCCATATCCAACGCATACATGATCATCGATTAAGGGTACTCGTACTTCCGTTAGTAACTTAAGACGACACATCGAAAAAGTGGCTCCAGGCTATCGCCGTACTGATCCGAGTGAATACATAATTTCTATAAAAACTTGGAAAAACGCGTCATAAGGACTAAAATTGCGTAGCGCCCGCGACGAATAAAAACCTTCAGAAATTTTCAGAATCTTAAAATACTTTTTTTAAAATTATTGATTTAATTAATCAAAATAATGAGCAAGTAAATTATGAATATTGAAGTTAAGAATATATTTGACTGATTTCCATGCATATAGATTAAGTAATTTCGTTGTAATTTCAACTATAGTGATTTTTTAGAGGTGTTTTCGCAAATAATTATGATCGAGTCAAAATTATACAATCGTGTTTTTGAACAATCAAATTCAAGATAAAATCATGAATTTACCTATATTAAAATTCTACTTTCGTTAGTGGTGTCATAGTCCTATACTATTTGATGAAAGGAGGTGCATTTTTTCGCGGTGTCGCCATAATATATTGACAAAAAATGATGTGTGTGTACTTCGAATAGGTAAGACTGTTCTTTAGTAAGTATCTACATGGTGATAGGCCTATTTTTCTGGTTGCGCTAGGAATAAGCCTCTCAGTTTAATGTTTCATTCATCCACGACAGGGAGAAATGAAACTGGAGACAACGTATGACCTTTGATAAGATTTAATGGACAAATGAATTAATGAATAAAAACGTAAGCACAGGCATCCCCTCATTTCTGAGAGGGTTTCAGGGCAATGAAATGTCCGCCGCGCTGCACGAACGCATATTGGCAAACTTCACAGCCCTTCGAAACATTTTTTTACTTATTTCTTAGACATGCAGATTTACTCACAATGTTTTTCTTCACCGTGGAGCATGAAGTAAATCAGCACTTGAAATTGCAATTAACGATTTCCCTGGTGCCGGAGGCACCATATGATCAGCTGTCGCGTTAACCACTAGACCAACGGGACAGTCAAAATAATTAAACCATATCAGTAACGCTTCTATATATAATACGAAAAATATTTCTACCTTTATAAACTTTGTAAACCATCCAACGGATATTGATAAAATTTCTTGAGTGTGTTTGAATAGGTCCCTAGATGGTTTATATTCACATCTGGACCCGGTAGGTGGCGCTCTTGTCTTCTTCTACCTAGCATTTATCCCGGTTGCTCATCCCGCCCAGCGCGGGAGAACCCAGGGTCCGCTTTCCTACACTTACTCCTCCACTTTGCCCGGTCTTCGGCGTCCCTCCCAACTAGCCCATTGCGCGCATGTCATCCTGCACGACATCAAGCCAGCGTTTCTTGGGCCGTCCTCTACTCCTGGTACCAGGTAGGGTCATGTTCAGGCATTTGTTTCCCACGTAGCTTGCCGGTCGTCGTAAGACGTGGCCGTACCAGCGGAGTCGACTTTCCTGGAGCTTGTCAGCAATGTCACAGACATGGAGGCTGCCGCGGATGTATGTATTCCGTACATGGTCTTTCCGCGTGACGCCACACATCCACCGCAGCATGTTCATCTCCGTGACATGCAACAACTGCCGGTGTCGCTCTAGCACCGGCCACGCTTCACTGCCGTACGTAAGGACAGGCCTTATGATGGTCTTATAGACCTGTCCCTTCAGCTTAACCGGCATTTTGGGGTCACAAATGACACCCGTCACCTCGCGCCATTTCGCCCAGGCCGCTGATATACGGGCCTTGATGTCGCGATCGATGTCCCCGGACGCATCAAGCACAGATCCGAGGTACCTGAAGTTGTCCGTGCGCTCGACGGTGTCGTCGCCTATACGGAGAGACGTCAGATCTGTGCTGTTGCAGGCCATATACTCCGTCTTCGCCACGTTTAGCTTCAGCCCGCCGTTCTCAAGCGCCTCCCTCCATGCGTGCACGCGTCTGGTGAGCCATCCTTTGTCCCCATCTACCAGTGCGATATCATAGGTGGCGCTGTTGTCGAGATCCAGAATTCACCCGTGCAAAGCCGGGTCGAATCGCTATTATGAAAAAACAGCCTTTTTACGTCCCAATTATGGGGTTATGTAGCTATAAGTCCATTATGCGACTCCAGAGCATTTTTGCGGACTTTACGTGCAACATTTTCGGTCTTCAAATATAAGGTTTTCAGACACGAGGAGCGCGTAGTAAATCGACATTCAAAACTGCAATTAAAAATTTTATTGGCGTCGGCGGGAATTGAAACCAAGCTCGCGTACTGTGAAATTTACAGCGATTGCTTAGCCTCTGAGCGACCACGGCTCTGACTACTCACGCCATACTTGTATGTGGTTTTATTATCGGCGATATCTAGGTATGCATGCATGAAACAAGAGGTCACCACACCACACCATCGTAAGCATTGACAATAGGAAAATACCAAATGCACGTTTCGACCACAAGGATCACACACCTTGTAAATTTCGGAAATTGAAAAATGGCTCATACTATATATATATATATATATATATTTTCATTGAAGTCATCTTTGTAAGTTAAACAAAAATTTTACAGATGTAACTTACGTAAGTAACAATAAGTAAAACAGAAATTGAGGGTAGTTATTGTGTTGTTGGAAATGTAAATGGAAAAGTGAAATGAAATCACGTGAAATATGCTAGATGTAAATATTATGCCGTCTTGAAAAATAGAATGCAACTGTGCTTATTGTACTAGAGCGTTTTTCAAAAAAAGTGTACATGTGACGAACCGGAAATTGAGTGAAACAAATTTTTTTTAATCTGCAAAATTTTATGGCCCATAATATATTACTATATATAGTTACTAAATAATAGTATGAGGGACATATTTTTGAAATTTCACGTAAAATTATTAAAAGATGAATTTTTCGTGACTCTTCTGTATAAAACTACTACTCTAACAGTGGTAGAGCCACGCAGTAGCCTTTGCTATTGCACGTATAGGCCGGCTCAAACTCACAGAAGACCGGCGTGAAGTAGAAGCTTTGCTTCTGCATTTCGTCTGATGAGTGCAGGTGGCTGGAGGCCCAATTCCCCCTCCCCCCTAACAAGGTAGCGGAGTTAAATATAACACTACCCCAGGAGGGTACCAGCACCCCCGGTGACGGAGAATCCCTCGCTAAGCATTCACGCCCAAACTCCCCTACTCTTCCTGAGCGTGGGTGCTCAGGCTGGCCCTCGTATTCTGGGGGCGGCGAAATTCCGCTCGAGACTAAGCCTGCTCGGGGCAAACGGAGCAATAAGTCAAAGGCGCCCTGCCACGCTATCCGTGGATTTCTGCAACATCAAGGGACTTCATTCAAACCTTGCTCTTTCTAATCGAGACACAGGCGTACTTTCCGACACTTCATATCTCTCCCCGGGGTACAGATTAGAAGACTCTTTTGTGCCCGGGCTGGAGTTTGCGTATACGTCAGAGAGGACATCTCTTTTCGACGCCTCGGCAGCCTTGAAGGTACGGACCTGTCCATCTTATGGCTACGTGTAGACAGCGACGACCATCCCCACGTCTACGGCTGTTTATATGCTTATACAGGTCCCATAGCGGTAATGCCGATACAGACCGACTAATCGACCACGTCCAGATGGCTGCAGACTCCGTGCTACAACAGGTCCCATTCGCAGAGATCATGATACTTGGTGATTTGGTAATTTTATACTATCGCGGTCACCTCGTTTTTTGGCTCTAGAAAATCGAAAAATCATCCAATTTCGATGATTCGAAGTATTAAGATCGAAGTTTATATATTTTTTTGTTTGTTAAAAAGAAGTATAATTCTGCTTCCAGGTCCTTTAAAAGTGTCATTGTCAAGGCAAAGTCAGAGCACATCGGCAGAATTGGCGAGAAACTTGTTCGTCTTCCTTCGGGAACACGTACATTCTGGTCTCTCGCCAAGGCTGTCCAAGGAAACTTCTGCCAGCCATCTCTTCCATCTCTGCACAGGGAGGATGACTCACCGTTCCATGCCGAAAAGGACAAAGCCGATCTACAAAGCCGGTCTCTCTCTTTGCGTACAACTCTACTCTTGATGACGGGGGGAACACACCACCGACCATCCTGCAGTGTGAGTGCTCCATTCAGGATGTGCTGTTTACCCAACGCTCGGTGCGCAGAGCACTCCTCTCCCTGGACATCAATAAGGCGAGTGGGCCTGATGGCGTCCCCCTATTGTGCTGAAGACGTGTGCTCCGGAGTTGGCACCTGTCTTAACGCGGCTTTGCCGGTACTCCTACTCCCTAGGCGTAGTCCCGAAATCATGGAAGAAAGCCTTCATGCACCCGATCCCTAAAAAAGGTAACCGCTCTGATGTAACTATAGGCTATGCATCATCCGTTTAGATATGGTTTTAACAGCCAGCTCATACGGTACCTTGAGGATCACCAACTGATCAGTGACCGCCAGTACGGTTTCCGTCGCGGTCGCTCGGCTGGTGATCTTCTAGGTTACCTAACTCATAAATGGGCGAAGGCAGTAGAGTCCAAGGCGGAGGCGTTGGCCGTTAGTTTGGACATAGCGAAGGCCTTCTTACGAAGTTATTATATTTTCTTCTTTCTTGTTTATGTCTTTCTTTTGTTTTTGCTTACTTTTTTCTATTCTCCATTGTCTTCTTCTTTTAATTTTTTCTGATTCTGTCAAGTCTTTAATTTTTTTTCGATTTTTTCTTAATCTTTGAAGTTGTTTCTGGCGCTGTTCTTCATATTTTTCAGGTCTTTCCGATTTTAATCGTTCTCTGTATTTTTTTGCCCTCTCGGCTGCAGTGAGCACCATTTCTTAAAAAAAAGAAATATTGAAATTGAAAACTTAAATATTAAATTTTAAACCTGAAATACTCTAAAAATATTACTAAATATCTATCCTAAAATTTGACCCTTTCAGTATAAAGGATGTAAGTGACAGCTATCCTTTAAATCAAACCATAAATTTAGACCATTATTCTGAATCTCAGACAGTTGGAGTTTATAAGCGGAAATCTACAGAAAAGAGATTTAGGAGATTTTCGATTGTCTATATTTAGTTAAAAACCGCAAATCGGAAAATGGCAAATCGGAATTTCCGGTATGCCATTTTCTAGGAACAAAGTAAAAACTAGAAATCAGAAAATTATACCGTGTTTTAAAAGACATAGAGCATATTATATGTTTTAGGAAGAAATATGCAATAAATAGCCAAAAATATTACATTCTTAAGGCAAACAAGGGTACAAGTCAAATCATAAAGTTCGCTTGTAATTTTTTGTGTTTTCAAATGTTTTTCTTTAAATGCAAGATTTAGTTAATCGAATTTTAATTACTTATATAATTTTAATTTTATTTTGTACAAGAAATTACGGTTTATCATTAGAATTTACAGGGCAATAATAATAAAAAAACAAATGTTAATGCTGTGACAGCAGAAATTTTCGATGTACACTTTTTTTGAAAAACGCCTACTAGAACAAAAACCTAATTATTCCGTGTCTGAAAATTATTCTCTGTACTATGTATAGGGATATCCTCCTAGTAGTAGCAAAATTTCACATGTCATCATTCCTACCCCAATATATAATATTATTGGGGTGGGAATGATGCAAATTTTTGCACGCGACAATATTATATATGCAAAATGTTATATATATATATATATATATATATATATATATATATATATATATATATATATATATATACCGTTGAGGAAGAAGGGTTCTCGAGTGGCAGCCTCGTACCGGTAGGCGAAGTGTAGGGCGACCCCCCACTAGATGGAGTGACGACCTGATAAGACATGCAGGAAGTCGATGGATGCAGGTGGCTCAGGACCGTGCTTTGTGGCATGGCGTGGGGGAGGCCTCTGTTCAGCAGTGGACTTGTGAAGGGCTGTAATGATGATATATATATATATATATTTTTATATATACTAATACAACTATAGTGGCTGAGGAAACTTATATTTAGTTTAAGCCCAAACAAGTAAAAACAGATCCTTGTTTGTAGCACGTAACGTACGTCTTTTCATTTTTTTAATACTAATACGTGGATATTACGAAATACGCTGTACCATAAACAATTAAAAAAGCTGAAGGTACTCCTGGTTTAACAATGACATCGGGACGTCAGTCACCTCAGTCCCCCGTGACCATGGGTGTTGGAAAGTACCCGAAACGTCGGGAATTAAAAATAAAAGTAATTAAAATTAAAATTAAACGCGATAAAATCCGTAAAAGTAGTTTTATTCAATGTGTAATGTTCGTGCAAATAAAAGAAATTATTAAATACGCTGTAGATTTTTTTCACATGCCTTGATTTGATTTATCTTTACTTAGTCAGATATAGAATAACTGTAGGGAAATCCCTACTAGTGATGCATAGATTATGAAAATCATCGATCACCTGACCAAAAAGTTGTTTTTGTTAGTTTGAATTTTAAATGTCATTAAAATAGTTTAAGGGCCTTTTAAAAGAGTCAAGGAAACTAAAAGAACTATTGATCTAAAATGCCATTTGGTATAAATTACACCTTGACATATAAACCTGACTTTGTAACTTTGTAAATAGGACGTTCGTGATCTGTATGTACGAAATTTCCTTTAATAATCTTGTCGTTTGATAGAGTAACATGAGCGTTGCACTTTTTTTTAACACTCGAGCACCTCCAACGTGTTATGCCATTATCTAAATGTGTGTCTCTATGAAAAGTGTATCCCTGAATCATTAAAAGCTTCTTTCCACTCGTCACTGTAATAAAATTTGCGTCTGAAACAATATACAATACATTTTTTATTAATTTAACACATCCGTACATTAACTGACGATCGATGGGCAAGAAATGTTCTCGAGTGACAGCCTCGTACTGATAAGCGAAATGTAGGGCAAAC